GAAGAGGAGGGGATGTTGCAGGGACACCCCTTTTAGGGGAGAGGGTCGTACCAACCCACCAGTTTTCCGCGACGTGATGCTTCAACCGGTTCCCAAGTACCATAGCCATAGCTGTGTAGAAAAGAAACAAAAATAAGCATAAACTCACATCCAAATATACGTGTGAAGAGGAAGAAGTAAGTAACATTATCGATTGTCAGCAGGAATGATAAGATAACGAAGTAGGACTGGATTTTGTTATGCCAGAACTGTTCGCGAAAGCCGACACGACTGAGGAGGCCGATGATTACCTAAATCGACCAGCGTACGTGACACCACTTCAGATTTTCGGATTTCTGAGTGTGCGCGGAAAGACTGCGTACGAGCACAGGACTCTGCCCTGGGTGGTAGCGGGTGCAGCAGCTTATGAGATTTTGCCTCTTCCGTTCCGTAAATGTTGCATGAGAACGAGGACTGCCTGCTGAGGATGTCTTCGGATCTCATCATACGTCCACAACGGACAGCACGTGCATAGATGCCATTTCCCGCAGCGAACAACATGGGCCAGGCTGCCTATCCTGGCAAAGTGTAGGAAACAACCAAACGTGTGGTTTACAGTTAAGACAGAGCCGATTTGCGTCGACTGGCCATATAAGGATATGGCTTGGAAGGATGGTGAAACGTGCTGTATATGCCTGCGGGTGGAGCCCCACTGAACATCCGTCTACCAGTACTTCCCAGCTTCATTTTCGCGCACAGGAGAAGGGACCAATCTGCGCGGTAATCGTTTCACCTCGCACCTGCAAGAGCAGCGCTTCTCAAAGCACCCCGGTCTGTGAGCTGAGCTATTCCGTGCTTGTCTAATGTGGCTAGTTTCGCCGCTTCAGAGCTTCAATCGCTTTGAAAGTCATGAGTGCCCATGCCTCCGTATTGTCGCTGGCGACCCATGTGACTGCCGCACGGAAATGACGGGCCTCGCTTGTCTGCCGTCTGGTCTCTCGTCTCCGCTCTCTCAGTGTTCCTTCGCTGTATTCTCGCACGCTACAAAAAATCGTCCCCAAAAAGGGAGCCCTCCCTCGGAACTTCTGCGCTCACTCATTTCTCTTCACTAGTTTTCAATTTACTTAGACCTACAGGTTCACATAGTTAACCCCGGGGAAACGGTCTTCAGAAACACGCGACGTCGCGTGCGCGGCAATCAGTAACCACCGCGTGGTTTGCAATGGGGCGCACACTCGCGATACAGTCTCATTGCGTCAATGAACTAGTTTGTTTGCTTCAGTTTTCCACGCCCTTCACTTGGTAGGACCTCGATTGTCAGTAATCCTCAAATTTCGTTTTACTTGCATGACTAGAGTTTACTGCACATTATAGTACACAGAGCAAAAACCACCACACGAATTCTAGCTCCGCGCTTGAAGTTGCTTTGGTTCAGCCTGCTCTCTCCAGTCACACTTTCACAACGACATCCTGCGACACACCATACTGTCAGAGACTGCCACCTGCTGATCCGCGAAGATATGAACAGACTGTCCTGCGAAAAAATACGCAACAAGGCTATCAGCTCGTCTCAATAAAAACCACGCAGAGCGCGCGCCGCTTGTAACCATACGGCATTTGCAATTGCCGCGCGCGACGCCGCGTGGTCCTACCATCACGCGCCCTTGACCCCAACTAAAAACGTCCTTTGACCGTAAAGCGTGCCTCCAGTGGAGGAGCGACACCACTTTAAATCAATATGTACAGTTACTGCAGTATAGACTGCATGTCCGTTGGGTATGGTCACAGTTCGACGTGAGCTCTTGCTGAGCTGGATGCAACAGCACATTATCTTGAGAACTGACGCTTAAATAATTGCTTTCAAGGGAGGTGAGCATTACGCTTGTCTTTTGAGCACTCTCCTTCAATCAGCACCTCACTATAAGTTACACTCGGAGTTACACTTACAGTTACACTCAAGTCCATTGTAAATAGGAAAGCTTGCATTAATATCTACCACTCACCCTTCGTTCATAACTCTGATTTTCGGGGGTCATCATAAAAATATATCTTCCGAGCTCGTGACTTTCAGCGATACCTCGATCGTTGTGCTTCACTTCACCTTGTTCTGTTGATTTTGTTATCTAAAATCGGAAGACTCGAAGGGTTAAGGAACAGTATGACAAAACAAAAAATGAAGCGTAGAATTCAAAGCGACGAAATTATGAGCACACCCTTGCCGGCAGCAAACGGTTTGTCCTTTGCAGCATTGCTAGCAGAGGCCGGTTTTTCATTTGCCTCTGGTTTGGTAGCTGCTTTATCCGCTGCATCCTGAGATAGATTATGAGCTTCAATATGATCAATTTAAGTGATGTGATTTGTCAGATTTTAATGGTGGAAAGGACCCAACGTTCTTGCCTTATGTGTTCACGATTTTCAATTTGATTCGTCTCCTGGAGGCACGGGGAACGGAGGGAAACTGGCGAGATGAGGATATTACATACGAGTCATGAGATGCCAATTGGACACTTGTGAAGAAAACAGCGAACAAAACCTGACGCCTTATTTGAGTGCCCATCATACCCTTGACGAGGTACGACTTTACGTCATACAAGAAGTCTGATGGGGCTGTCCAAAGGAAAACGGCTGGAAGTTGTATCAAAAACGATACCCACTTCGCACTGTTTCCTACTTCCACAAACACGGGCCATCACTCGCAGATACGGACAGACGTATTGTGGAGCGGTTTCGTGAATTTCCGCGCACTATGTGCAAGTCAACACAAAAGCTGAATCGCGCAATGACACTAGACAAACTCGGGAACTCGGAGTTCGGAACTTTCGTACTATGGTTGGGACCTGCCCTACACTACCACTCCTCTATGTCATTTCAACGCTCTTTCGAGGGGCAGGATTGGGATGATCAGTCCGATGCGGACAGGAGCACCTCACTCCCTTCACGAATGGCGCACACTTTTAAGAAAGCGTACACCGCGCTATAGAGATGACTCCACTGGTAATGGACAAAGAAAACTTCTCAACTTGTTCCGCACATGAGTCAGCAGCTATTAGCTGCTCTGTAGTGAAGAAATTGTACAACAATTCGCGTGCACCGCGCCGACCCGCCCGAAAGCAGTCGAGGCTATTGGTCTAGTACCCAGTCGGCTCCACTACCTGCACGAGCTCTGGCACAACCTCCTTCGCTCATCCTACCCACCATCTTCCTGAATGTTCCCAGTTCTTAGCTCTACCGCTTGCGGAGGGCAGAAGGGGGAAGGGGGTAAGGGATGGCAGATTTCAGAGAGAGAGAAACCCACGAAAAGTCAACAAACGGAAAGTCCACTCAAACGCTCCTCCCCCTCCCCTCCCCAAATCTCCACCGACCAAATACGACCACCTCATTGTTGTGGTTTCCCAACGTACGACGTGCCCGACGAGCGCACAAGTGATGAAGGTGAACGTGGAGTTTGCTTTTCGCTCAACTTTTACGTAGGAATTCATCCAAAAGACATTAAAAGAATAGAACAAACCTTTGCTTTTATTTGACTGGCCTTAGCTTTTTTCTTCGGAGCCTTTTGACTCCGGATACTTTTCGCTTTGTCCTTTTTCGGTTCGACTTTCGGGGCCTGAGAAGCAAGAAGACAATATAAATAAGAAATAGACTGCGTAATGGAACTCCAACCCGTTTGCGACCAGGCGCTTTCAATGGGGATCGTTCCCTCAAACCAGCTCTCAGTAGAGCACAGCGAAAATAAAATCCAGTTGTAGCGGGTAACTGAGCATAACATTATGACTCTCTCACAATCGACTCTCTGTGCATATTAAAGCTAGGTTAAGGAAGGTTGTATTGTCATTTCATTCGAAAGCAAGGAGACTTGTAGAGGATTGGGATTCCTGCCACGGAGCTGGGGCTGTGAGCTTCCATGCTGTCTGGAAGCTAGTATATAGTACTACGTAATCATCAAACCTGTCCAAGATGGCCACAGAAAAATCGGAGGAACGGAAAGGAACCCTGTGTGATCAAAACCAGCTCCTGGTCATCATTATCGGACGTCATGCAAGAAAATTGCGCTGCCCAAATTGAAGGCGAGCTGGACACAAGAGATCTGTGGGGTCTGCATTCACACTTTGCGAAATCGTTCACCAACGTTTCAAGCGTCTGGCAGCGTGAGCGACTAAGAAAGTATAATATCGATCTAGTGACCAACGGCGTCCACCAGCGTAGCGACCGGCAGCGTCTCTAGGGCTGAGGAAGTATAGGTCGTAGTTAAGGTTACGTGATCTGCGCAGGCAGATCAATGTACTCAGTAGGTGGTCTTTCACATCGGAGAGCAGACTATTATTCTATCTACGGTAGGGATAAAAAGTAGTTGGATACTAGTTGTTAGGCTGCGTTTATACTTTGCGGCAGCGTAGCGCTTCCAGCGTACGCCAGCGGCAGTGCCGGGGAGAGGATGCATATCGATCTAGCGTTCACCAGCGTTTTGCTAGCGTTTGCAGCGGCAGGGAGTAGAGATGGGAGATGGGAGGCTTACAAAAAACACATCGCGATTGCGCTTCTCTCACTCGCCCTCAGTCTCTACTGTACACATCGATCGCGTCTTTCACGGCCACATAGTCTCTACAATACACTTCGTTTGCGCATCTCTTACGGCCCCATAGTCTCTACTCCCCTGCCGCTGCAAACGCCAGCAAAACGCTGGTGAAACGCTGGCGCGTACGCTAGCGTTACGCTGGTGACGCTGGGAACGCTAGATCGATATGCATCCTCTCCCCGGCACTGCCGCTGGCGTACGCTGGAAGCGCTACGCTACGCTGCCGCAAAGTATAAACGCATTTACAGTTGTACGCCCGCAATCAACCGATCGACGCCACACCTCTCAATAAGGACTCCACGATGGACGCTGACCTCAAAAGTGGATTAAAGGCACAGTTCGCGACCGCAAATTGCGGGAAACGGAACTCAAATAGGCACAAAAAAGTGCTAAGTATCTGATTAGCGGAGAAAAGCAGCAGAAAAAGCAGTCCGAAATGTTATAGAGAAAGATAACATAGTGGCTACTAGCTAGTAGCTAGCAGCCGGTGAGGGTCGGCATGGGCCTAAGGGGTGTCCATGGGCCTAATTAGTCAGCTTCTAGCGGAGTTCTTGCCGTTTTTCACATTTTGAAAGTAGCGCAGCCTCAAAAATCGCCTTACCTTCCGTCGTCCCGACACTTGGGAGATCATGGCCTTTAATTATCGCGAATGTGCCTTTAGGGAGTACGAGTAGACTAATTCCTTCGAGTACATTTCTTGAGTAATAAAGCTGTGTTACTATTGGGCTCTGTTACAGCCCAAATCTTACGTGGCCAATAAGTGGTGGGATTCAACGCCCTTAGCAATACCACTGAACCGCAATTTGGTGCATCGGACCACAAATGAGGACTCAGGTCGGTTCAATATCCTCTTCTACGGTAGTCCAAATTCTTCGGCGGTTTTTTTTTCTCTCCACTATCGGATTTAAATTGAACGCAATTTTTTTTGCAATAACGAATTTATTTTTTTTCTCTAAAGCAGTTCTATGGCGTCAACATTTCTATTGCGACAACATTTGCAACCTGACCTCTCATTGGCCAACCGAAAACGCTTGGTTTTCTCAGAAAGCTAGAGCAGGAAATTGGTTGCATTGAGGGGCGCTCACCGTGGCGTGCTTATTGAGAGCTGTAGGCGTCGATAGGTTGATTGCTGGCGTACAACTGTAAGAAACCTAGTAGTCAACTACTCTTTATATACCCTACCGTAGATAGAATAATAGTCCGCTCTACGATCTGAAAGACCACCTCCTGAGTACATTGATGTGCCTTGCGCAGATCACGTAGCCTTAGCTACAGAGGTATCGATCTAGCAACCAGAAGCGTCCACCAGCGACCAGGAGTGGAGAGCATGGGGCGATCGGAGATTCGCAGACACTGGTAGAGGAAGGGGAAATAGTAGGGTAGCAAACTGCTTGTGGAGGGTATGGGGCAGTAGGAGGATACAGACAGCTGACGAAGAGTGCGAGGTGATAGCAGCTGTCTCCTCTTATCGCCTCAAACTCTCCAGTTCTGAACGCTGCTGGGCGTTGGTGGACGCTGCCGCAAAGTATGAATGCAGCCTACTGTGTTCTAGATACGGAATGTGGAAAAGTGTATGCGAAAGTCCAAAAAAGGAAAATCGAAAAAGTCGAAGGCCTTACAACACCCACTCCACACAGAAAAGCGAAAAGTGCACAAGAAAAATCAAGCGTTGGACATCTCATTACAGAGAATGAACTACTGTCGTACTCACTGCGAAAACATTCCTGCTGCAATCGTTTGTTGGCTGAGTTGCGCTCGAAAAAGGGTTGTCGGAAAGGTGTGGTCTGAGTGCTTCGTTCCTTTACAAAGGCACAAACTCAGAATCTGCTGCGTGCGCAGAGACAATGTGCTCCCTTGAGACACCACCTACGGCTGCGGACGTGGGAACGGGTGCCTTTTATTTTATCGAACCTGGGAGTCACAAATGTCGGCTCGATGATACTATATGATCGATGATACCGACATAACTAACATAACAAACTATGACATGGAATTAAGGGCTATAACTTGTCTAAACGGGTGATGCTTCATGGCTAAATTGTCGCAGGTTGTGCATTTTTGAGTGGTTGGGCGAAAAAGCAAATTCGTCATTTTCGATGTTGACGGCCTGTTCCTCCACAACTAGATCAATAAACTGATGCGAGCATTGAACTACATGATGAAATCATTCCTCATTACAGTGCCAGACTTCCTTGTAATCGTATATTCAGTCTACCTGGACGAGAAGGAAACAGACCATTTAGTCGGTCGTATTCACCCAACCACCTTTTTGGTCAGCAGAAGGCACTGGTCAATCGTCGGAATGAAAACAGGTATCTACATTCTCTAAGAGAAGGAACTGCTACATGTCCAGATAATCAATGGATTTTGGGAGCGGGATGCCAACAGCGACGGATTCTACTTGTCTCAAAACTGAAATGTCTCTTAATTTCCTGTTTCCATTTATTCTCTTTGGCTAAGAAACCT